TAGCCTTAGGAAAATATTTATAATATATTTAATAGTCAAGCCAATTTCGAGATTCTTTATATCTAAGACGACAAAACTTTGACTTCCCATGGTAATTGCTGTCTATTCTTTTTTTTGGATCAAACATAGAATAAACCTTAGAAGTGCAATATTTTTTAGATCTCTAGTAACTTAGTATTGTCCATATACTAATGCTATTAAAAGTTTAAAATATTTCAAACCCATTCTGATTGACACTTTAGCTGTATATGGTAGTTATATGGTTTTCAAAACAGCCTTTCCCATTAACCACTTATTAAAACTAAAATACAAAAGATAATGAAGATTTACGATTAATAGTAAGTATATAAAAAAACTTTAAAACAGCTGGAAGATATATAACAGAAATAATTAAGTTCATCTCAGTACCACTGTCAATTTATAAGTAAACATTCTGTTTTTAGTAAGTTGGAGATCTATATCAAAAGTGCGATTAGTATTATTATATAGGTTAGATTATCAGATAATAGTAAGGGTACTGTAAGCCGTAGACGTGCAGCACTCACAATAATTATTCTAAGTATGGATCCTTAGAAGTGGTTAAGGAACCAGAGTGTTTTGGTACTTACATGCAAGCCAATAAAAACAGTATTAAAAACCTCTTCTGATCTGGTTTTGATAATGGCAGATGCCAGAGGAGTAGACCAAATAGTAAAACAAGAGTTATATCAGTTGTTATATTAAAAACTGCAATAAAGATATAGGTAGCCACCTGGCTGATACACTCTTCTTACTTAATAAAATTCCAGGACTTTAAAATTAGGCGGCAGGCAAAAACAAAACAGCACACCAAAATAAATAACCCTAGAGTTGTAAGTATTGTAATGACTAGAATTGTTTTGCAAAGCCATTAAACTTTAAGTAGATAGACAAGATAATACAATAAAAAAAGCTGAGAAAGTCTAGCTAAATAAAGCCCAAGAACAAATAGACACAATACGATCAGTAGAAGCTAGAGAAGATTAGTTATATCATACAGACTCTAAGTATTAACTAAGAAAACAATATCTTCTTATATCTATTAATAGTATTTGCATTAAGAGTATGTATATGAAATCCCAGTCCGGCATAGTTAAGAGCATCTGATAATAATTAGTATTAGGATATAAAATAATCTGTCAACATATATATTATACAAAGAATCAGTATCTGTGTTGTAAGACACAAGGTCTTATTTTGAAGTCAGCTAAACTATTCTTAATTAGCAGATATAATAACCTACCCACAACAATAAAAGACATACTATATTTGAAGTCTTTTTAAAAACACAGACTTAATATTATAGAAGAATATGACTTATATTCTCTAATATCAAGCCTATTTGTTGTTTGATACCTAGAGTACAGCTGTATAGCTAAACAGGCTAAAGATATTACCAAGCCTACTATAAAAATAGTATGGATTAGAATATACAAATTTAACGAAAAAGATTCGGATATGTAGTCTAATATAATAAGAATATAAGTTTAAGTTAAACAGGTAACACAGTCCTTTTTTAAAAAAGCAGTGTTTTTGCTTTGATTATATATTTATCAGTTTTAAGGCTGGACTGTGTACAGCAGATCTTAAATTTCCTTGACCAACAAATATAATATGATTTATTTTAAGACTGCTGCCAAGATACTAGCGCAGGCAAATAATTAAGTAATCAAGGGCTGGTATAAATATTAGCATTATATAAGAAAACATATCTAAAAGTATTACACGCGGATTTTTTATATAGTTTATGCCGAGATCTGTTATAAGTTATTATAAAGTAGGATCTATATTTAGGTAGAAACTATTTTCTCACCAGATTGTTGTGCTAAGTATGCTTGTGGCAAAATACTTAAGTTTTAGACTAATTCTATACCCTTTTTTTATACAGACTTGTAAAAAATAGAAGAGATTAAGAGAGTAAATTTCATAGTATATTATTTACCTATATACTCCTATTTAGAGAATAAGACAAGGCTAGTAACAAGGCTATTAACAATCAGAGATTAGTATAAGAACTTATCCTAACTTATAACAAATATATGCATAAAGACAGATGCTGTAATTGTTAGTAGCTACTGTAGTTTGACAGATATACTATTATTTGTACAGTATTATTTAGGTTTTATTGGAACTGATTTCAAATCCCTCTGACTGGAGAATTTAAAAGTTCTTTTGGAAGAATATAAGTCCAGTCAGAAAAGGAGTAGTAAAAGTACTGTACAGTAGCAATAAGCCCTACTCTATAACTAAAATAAATATCTATCCGTCTCTCTGCATAGATTCAGTTTCTTATTGGTATAAACACTAGACCTCTGTAATAAAGATCTTTTATACTCCATACAATATCTGGTTTAGTATCAGGGACTTTTTGTCTCCGTCAGATGTTGAGAACATCCTCGGTACTGGATCTAAAATCTGGCAATAAATATTCAAAGATAAGAGTTGGCTGGAATATGCCTTAACATTTAATCAGTATGCTCCAGTTCTAATTAGCTATAACTTAAGAGCCTTTTGCTCTAAAATTTCTTTAAAACATCTATACCTAGCTCTTATTACAAATAATCATTCGGGTGATCTAAGATATAAATATCAAAAATTTTTTGCTGCACTTCAAGACGGATGGGAATACAATAAGAAAAAATATAAGATCTACTTCTTATTTGGACTTATTCTTAATATCTCTGATATAATCACTGGGCATAAAGAAGTAGAATTACCCTTAGAGAAAGTTTTTACCAATTCTAAAAAGGGTGTTTACTTATAATACTGTTACTACCATGATCTCGCCATAAAAGACATACAGCCAACTGAAATCATAAAATAGGATCCAGAATACAGAACACATCCAAATCAGTATACTGGTTGGTGGAATGGCTTTGCTTGTAGGAATAGGGACCTATGATATAGCTGCAAACTTAAGCTGCAGGTGTAAGATCAAAAAAGGACATATATCTTACTGCCGAGTAGTATTAAAAGAAAACTCTGGGCGAAGATAAAATAATACAGTACTGTAATATTTTCTAAAACACTTCTCTTACTACAGTACAGTACTTATTTCTGTCGAATATGTTTAGTGTTAATATCTCTAATGTATTTTATTGTTTCTATAAGATTCTAGAACCTTTTGCTACAAACTGCAGCAATGTTTTGATTTCAGCGGCTGGTACAGTATACTAAGCGCATTGTACTTTGATACGCGAGAGCATGTATCTACTGCTGGCTCTTATTCATCTACATACTTATACAGGTGCTGGATACTGAAGTGAGTGTTTGATAATGCTTTTCTGAATACTGTTTATAATATGTAGTGTATCTTATCCCTGGATGGTTGTGAAACCGTTGGACAGATATGTAGTTAACTTTTACAACATTTTCTCTCATTTGGGGATAGAATGGTCTATAAAGGTATACCAATTGCTGTTTCCAGTTTGATTATAATATTAATTCGCTGTTTTAGATAAGTAGATGAATATTTTATTGTTGTAAATCTGGTGTGACTCATGCCCTGTAGCACAGTAGCAGTTACTTTTGTTGAGCTGATAAACCTCCCAACTAATAAACTTCATAGTTGTATTCTGGGCACTGTACATATCTTGTAAAGTCTACTTTTACTATAAATTATTCACACTAATGCTCTTGATCGACAGCTTGGTAGGATCAAGAATATATCATAACCTAACCTGATAAATTTATCTATAGGAGCACACAGCGACATACTGCTGCTGAGAATAAATTATGCTAAGTAACAACTATAAAAGGTTTTATTCCTTAAAGACAGAATTTAAGGCCAGGCACATCCACACTTGAGTCTACCATTTTGATTTTCAATAAATTTATCTAAACTTAAGTTAGTCAAAATCACAACAGGCTAAGACTCTACGGTATCATACCTAGAAGAATAGGTTCATACCCGGCTTTGGATACTAGACAATTGTTGAAAGCCACTGATCCTTCATACTAAAATCCACATTCCTTAAGTGATCTATAATGTCAAGGTGTTATAATTTAAGAACATAACTAAGATTTCTGTTTTAAAAAACCTCTTATATAATACTCTATTTTGGCAAGGTAATTTTGCACTCTGTAATATCTAGACTTGATTTCTCCCACAACTGAGATAATATATTATAGCAGCTAGAAGTCAAGTCACCTGTTACACTGCCTTTGATATCTTTACATGTGGAGTTGAATTCTCCGCAGCTGAGGACTAGTCTAGATAAACTAGCACAGACAATAAAGCCAAAGGATCTGGGAGCCATTTGGACTTTAATTGCGTAGGCAGTAAGATTCGGAAACAATAGTGAAATGTTGTTGGTCAAGCCGAATTCGAGATCGCCTGTAGAAGATATAATGTGACCAGTATAACGCAATACAATTAACATTAAAGAAACGAATACTTCGAGTTTAAAAAATGAGAACCAGCATTCACTCCTTCTGCTGCCTTCTTGAGATATATATAAGTCCTTAGAAGTTTGTTTAGGTGATACCATAAATTCCAAAGCGATTCTAGCGCAATGCCCGACTGTATTAGAACCGATAGTTCTAAAGTACAGTATACAACTCAATTAGTCTGATAAAAGCAGTTATTTAATAGACCGTATCTTAGATAAGCCTATAACTATAATATGGCACGCTCAATAAACAAAATAATAATGCTAGCATCTTGGCAGTAAGATGTAGAAACAATTATAATGTGTTTGGCAGTCAAGGTACTTTCAGGATCTACTGTAATATTCTGACTCTATAACTTACAGGGCTTCCGGATACCGGTGTCCCTACCCACACTCTTGCATTGTTTCAGCAACCCCAGAGCTAACCCACGCCAAGCCAATTCTGGCACGGAGCTGGGAGATTATTGGGCTGTCTATACATGGAAAGATACAGTGCAGTATCGAAATATGAACCTGTTTTCTCATTATTTAATTCTCATTCTCGGAAAATTCCTCAACAGCAATCATGTGCTGAATACTGACAGAGGAATGCCTGGTTGGAGTTTCTCTATAATTAGACGAGCAGTCAGCTAATGCGGGCTGCCGAGCCACTTTTTCCAATCAAATAAAGACGCAGGCGAAGAAATTTGAAAGTGGTTTCATCAAATACTGTACCATTTAGTCAATATGACCAGGCAGAGTCAAGTAGTATTGGTCATCCTTTAGTTTTGGTGAGCCTCTCCTTGATCACATTACAACGCATGGTTGCTCGGGTACCGAATGTGGTTTGAGCCATTCCATCACACTGCTGTGGACCGGTTTTGAGGCACTTACTGCTTCTCTGAGTAAGTTGACCATCTCAGCCTCTTTTTCATAGTCAGGATGATCTCGACCGACACAGCAGATATCCAGCTCTAGCTCTTTTTCAGCCCACAAAAGTGCCATCTTGACATTTCCCATTGCCAAGCAATATCGGGCCGCATCATGATAACTGAATAGCAGTAAGCGGTAAGCTTGGTAATTGAACCAAGGCAAGGTACTTACGAGATACCGAGTTCTCTGTTCAGCAAGCCTTCAGACTTCTGTATTGCGGCCATTCTCAGTGCTAGTTCAGAAGATTCTTTGTAAGTCTCTTTCCCACCAAACTGCATATTTATAGCGAGACGTTGATCGAGATCGAATAGTTCCATTCGCCTCTGTTCTCGTTCCCAACCCTGTGGAGTATCCTCGCATGCCAAGCAAGTGCATCGAAAACCCCACTTATCAAGCTCGACTTGACGCTTGATTCGATCCCGATTCGTAAGTTTGGTATACATTATTGTAAGCTCTTCACCTGCTCTGATATCTCTGATGGCATGGAATGTCTCTTTCTCGATACTCCAATTGTAAGAGAAGTCCGTGTTCGGAATGCAGGAATGATTCATCCGAGAGCCAAGCGGAAAAACGCCACCATTAAAGGCGTTCGCTGCAAAGATAGCCAGCACTTTGCGATCCAGATCTGTCATCTCCTCCCATTGGGTCTCGATCTCACGTTCCGCCGCTTTCCTGAATTGGGGACATGCAAATTCGTGTAGGTCAAGATATAGTCTTTGCTGAGCTACCGGAAGCTTTTTAAAGGCATCCAGAATGTCTTCTCGCGATCGACTTTTCTTGTTCGAGTTTGAGAAGAGCTGTTTCTGCTATCATGCGAGTTCCACGAGGTAGATCAGCTGTGGCAAAGACTCCCAAGCCCTAAACAGCTGAAGTTTTGACCTCAATAACATGGCGCGCGTCTAGACGCGATCGATAAATCAGCAATTGGTAGGTTTTCGATTATTGAACATACCATTTCTGCCCTGATTTATACTTGTCAATGCCATCATGCTTGTTATTGAAGATTGCAATACAAAGATTGTCAATTTTAGAGTGTTTCAATGGTGCCTTGTTCTTTGCTGTTTAATCAAGGACAATATCGGAATAGTTATTCTGGCAAAAGATCACAAGGTCGCTTAGATCAGCAGTTAATCAAACTCAAGCGAGCTACGTGTACATCTATCATTGGTCTCAATATTTCATTGTCAACCTACCCCGCACTCAATAGCCTAGGCACTTTGGGATTGATTCAACCTGCTACATACAGTAGGTGATGACACTGGTATACAGAAGGGCTGTAACCAAAAGTGATGACTTGAGAATCACTCTGAAGCTTTCACATCAATGGATCAATTCAGGCTATAACATGCTATGATCTTCTGATGTGAAGGCAAGCAGTAGTACCTGTCCAGAATCAGAACCAAGAACCATTTTTGACTCTGATATCGCGCACGCATTGCCCCTCCAGGCACTCGGACGGTACTCTGGTGGTAGCCAAAGTTTATTTTCCGAGTTCCAGGTAACCCACTGACGGTCTGGACTTAGGCCGCCCTCTCGTAACTCAAATCGGGTGCACTGCTCATCTCCCGAGCAAAGAGACAGATCAATGACGCCTCTAGTGGTTCTCAGACAAGAAGTTTGCATGTCAAGAATTCCAAGCCGTGTCTCTTTCTCCATCTTTCTGATATGATGCTGTTCCCCCTTGGTGGCATCCCAAACTATGACAGTACCCTTTTCATCGGCTGAGGCGAGGAATATCGAATCGTGCGAAAAGGTAAGTGAGCTAACCAAAGCCTTATGGTCTTCCAGCCTGTGTAGAAGAGTCCAATCGCTGGTCCTCCAGATAATGACTGACCCATCTGCGGATGCAGATGAAAAATACTCCGAGTTGGGAGAAAAGGCAATTGCACAGACCCCTCTTTCGTGGTTTCCGAGGCGCTTCACATTTTTATCACCTGCTCGTTTCAAGATATTTATTGTTTGATCGAGTGAGGCTGATGCAAGCATTTGAGAATCATGAGAGAAGCTGACTGCAACAACACTGTGACCATGATAATTTTCAAGCATGCATAGACATTTCCCAGTACTAGTATCCCAGATCTTCACAGCACAATCTGCTGATCCGGAAGCCAGCAAAGTAAAATCATGCGAAAAGTCAACTGAAAGAACAGGATCTTTGTGACCTTCAAGTGTCCGGAGAAGAGCACCGTTGCTGGCATCCCAGATCTTTATAGTAGAATCTCCTGAAGCAGAAGCAATAAGTTTTTCGTGGGTGGGAAATGTGACTGCTTCGACATAACTATCATGATTCTCTGAGATCTGTTCGATTGACGCATGAGTTGCATCCCAAACCCTAACAGTATGATCAAGGGAGGCTGAAGCCAATCGTTTTGAATCGTGAGAGAAAACGACTGATTCAACCCAACCACCATGACCTCGAAATTTCCGTGAACATTGCCAGGTGCTGGTGTTCCAGATTATGACAAACTGATCCCCTGAAGCTGAAGCAAGCCGAGTAGCGTCATGGGAGAAGTTCACAGAGGTGACTCTTTCCCTATGCTCTCCGAGTGTTGCTAAGCATTCCCAGTTGCTAGTATCCCAGATTTTGATTTTGCGATCGACAGAAGCAGAAGCAAGCCACGATGAATCATGAGAAAACGTTACCGAGGTAACTTCACCACCATGCTTAAGTGTCTTGACACAGTTCCAGTTGCAGGTCTCCCAAATTCTGACCTCACGATCTCGTGAAGCAGAAGCAAGCCAAAATGAATTACCAGAGAAAGCAACAGAGAGAACTGAACCTTTATGTCCCTCAAGTGTTCGCTGGCATTTCCAGTCACAAGTACTCCAGATCTTGATAGAACGATCAGCCGAGCCGGAAGCAAGCAATTGAAAGTCACTAGAGAAAGCAATATTATAAATAGCATTGATATGTTCCTTACATGTTATGATGTTCTCACCAGTTTCAATGTCCCAAACTCTGATGGTGTGATCCTGTGAACATGAGGCAAGGAATCTGGAATCTTTGCAGAAGGCAATAGATTGGACTGAATCTTGATGACCGATGAGTAGCTTAAGGTGTTCTCCTCTGTTGGAGTTCCAGACTTGAATAGTATCGTCTTTCAGAGCTGCGGCAAGCAGTTCAGAATCATGGGAAAAGATAGCACTATTGACGTGGTCCGTGAGATTTAGAGTCTGAAGCGTCAATGAGGATGCCTCTTCAATCTCAGATTGAATTTGAATTTGATCATAGATTTCGTGCCTGAAACACTGACGGATAACGTTGGCTGAGGGTAAAAATTGAAGGCCCGAACAGTATATTTGAAGTGGAGCAATGTCAGCGATGTGAATGACACTGAGAACGAACTTTTCCGCGTGCTGAAGGAAGCCCACGAGGTCATGACCTGTGAGTTTTCTCTGGAGGTCTGTTAGTTAATTATATCGATGTGTTAGTAATATTGACGAAGTCCTACCAATACTTCTGACTGCAGATCTCTAATGAGTCTCAATGCTTCAGGCGTATTCCTCATCAAGCTCAAAGCCTCCAACCAGTGCAAAAGATGTTTCTGAAGAAAAGATAGCACCTCAAAATCATCCAAAGTGTCGCTTGCAAGAACATGATACACCCAGTACCGACAGGAGTATTTCAGGTCATCTGTGAGATGATGGCTGATAGCCTGAGGATCTATGTCTTTAAATCCTGTTCCATAACTGGTTAGCCCGCAAATATTGCGTTGAAGATGGGTCTCCATGATTCGGAAGCAATTTGATGCTATCTTCATGTGTGTCTCTTGCTCATCAACAAAAAAACTCTTCTCTGTTGTTGTCACGAGGTAATCTCGAAATGATAGATGCAGGATACGGACTGGTTCCTCAGGGTTTGCTGGTATACGAAGAACTGAATGAAATCTTTGTAGTCGAGTAGCAATTATCCTCTCACGTATCCCTGTCAGCTGCGCAAGAGCCCTTACTGAAAGTGGGCTAGCAAGAAGGATAATAACCCCAACTGTATCCTGAAATTCTTGCTCCAGTTGCTTTTTCTCATGGTCAATTGCACCCGACAGGAGTTGCTGTAAGACAGGCAAGTATGTCCTGTCCATTAAAGAGCCTGAAGTTGCTGCTGGATTTTCAAGAAGCATCAAAAGACGATCTTCAGGAAGCCAATTTGAGTCATCCACAAATCGACACATGGTAAATGCGGAAATGAACAATGGAACTGCTCTCCTGACTAGAGTTTCAAGAACATCATCTCCCGGCCATTGACCGAGGATCTTTCGACGTTCTTTTATCAGCGAGAATTCGTCGTTAATGAAAATTCGAATGTCTTCTCCAACCACGGTCTCGGATAGATTGTGGAGGGCTAGACATCGATAATTGTTGGTTTGCTCAAAGACAGGGCGAATCGGCAATTCAGGACGGCTTGTAATGAATACTCGGATATTGCGTGATTTGCACTTCTGCACATCCGGCAAAAGCTGAAGTACAGTTCGGATGTCATCTTTATTATCGCATTCATCTAACGCATCGATCAAAATGACAACATTTGTGCACTCACCCCCGTCCAGGCTGAGAATTGGCTCAAGGAGTAGCTTGGTGAATTGCTCCTTCAATGATTTCCCTGATATATAAGGGTCTTTATCAATAGTCAATTCAACATAGCGGATTAAGGTGGGGTCTTGAAGCAAGAGTTGTGCGCAAATAGTGGTGAAGAGCCTCTTGGCGCTAGCACGTTGACCTTCTCCACGTTTAAAGAAGAAGCTGGCACCAAGTTGCTTCTTTTTCCAAAAGCGCTGAGCGATTGTCCGAGAAATGGTGGACTTGCCGGTTCCGGCCATACCATTCAACCAGAAAATACATTCTCCCCTCTGATTATCCGCCCACTCAAGAATCTGGTTAAGCAAATCAATCCGCGTTTCAGGATGGCATCTTGCTTCGTGCTCAGCATCTGACGCATCAAAGCTCGAGCCTTCTACATAGGGCAGCTTGTCGAGGACTTTGCGCTGTCTGCTTCTCATGCTGAGGTCCTGTACTGCGGCACTTGTGTCTTTGACAATGGAATAGACTTCTCTCACAGATTTCTTGACTACAAAAATCGGGAGATCAGTCAATACATCATCCTTGTAAGAGAGATAAATCAGCAGATTATGTAGTTGAACTCTACATACTTTGCTTAATAGGATCCATAATCATCACACCCTGCCCTGAGATAACATGAAGGAGTTCTTTTGCATAGCATGCCGCTGTCGCCGCAGCGTACGGCTGCCAGATTTTATTCTTATGGGAATCAGCATAATCGCAAATGCCTCGGATGACAAGACAGGGAAATGAGTCCATAAGTCCTAGTCAGAAGTTAGATAATGAGATTTAGGTTTTAGTAGAGTATGACTGACCAGCAGCTTCCATTTCAAAGCAGATAATGCCTTCCTCCCGTGCCCACTTATCTCTCAAAAGGGCGTCCTTCATCACTTGGTCCGCTGACCCGATGGTCCCATAATGTAATCGTGGAGAGTTATCAGACCGGTAATCCCTTTTTACAAGGTTACTGTCCTGACTGCGGCAACGCTTGCACGTCTTCTTGCCTGTCTCGTGAATAAATTCTGCCTTGAATAGGTAGTCCTTCTGGGGTCCTGGATGCTGGAACTTTGTCGCGAGCGCCGGATATGTCGACATAATATTCGATAGTGTCTTCAGAATCTGATGGCCTTCCATCCGATGCTGTGCTTGGAGGAGAGCAACGGCACCTAGAAGAATACTTGGAGGCTTGTTTAATTTGCCGCCGCTAAGTATGAACCTTTTTTCCTGCAACGATTTCCCAAAATCGTACTGCACAACAGCATCTGAGGACTTGGAGTGGAGGCTTATCGCCACGTCACCCAGTCGTATATCCCGTGTGTCTGCTGGGTCATCATCTGACTCGTCTGAGTCTTCGGAATCTCCCCCTTCTTTGGCTTCCGTTCGGTGATCACTTCCTCCAGCGTTAAAGTATGGTACCCCTCCCCCAACCCCGACCATAAGCCCAAATCTAACAGCTGGAAAGCTGCGAATCATGTCTTTAGCAACAGTAGCGGCAGACACCTTGCCCGTTGTTTCTGCTGGCAAGCACGCGATTACAACATTGTGGTCGCCGATTGTTCCAAGAACGTATGAATTTGAGTCATGGGGATCAATTGCCGGAAGGACTGGATGCTTTTCGTCTAACATAGCCATAGCCGCTACTAGCTCAGATTCTGGTAAAGCGCAAATCCAGCCGACAGTGTAGTCGCTGTGGCTGAACATTCCGCGAGGTTCCGTCATGGCATTCGTAGAGAGAATGAATAGCAATGGTTGGACTGATGATATCGATCGACGAATTTCGCCTCTGGGGAGTGGGGGAAGTGCCAGGCGGTTCAGAACAAACGAAGTCAGATTGCTGACGCGGGGTTATCCTTGGCAACATAAGCAATAAGATAGTTCTTGTAACGTGACCCTGACGTAAGCAAACAGCAAAGGCCTGCTGTACTGCTGACACTACACAAATCAGCTTCTGTCCTCCTTCAACCGAACAAATAAGCTCGCTCGTTGATGAGCTGGCGGGGCTCAACGACAGGGATATAGTGGTTAGTGTAGACCAGACACATTTCCAACCCTTTCCGTCTTATAAGATCTGGCGCGCACAAAGGCTTATTCTCACTCTTTAATTAAATCCATAGGCTCGTATGGTGCGGGGAGACACGCCGGATCAACAACCTTGGTATATATGATTGTGGACAGAGCTGTGGACAGAGCTGTGGACAGAATGTTATTTTGATTTTCTTGGCTGCCTAAATGATCGGGACATTATCGGCTCCGTCCGACTTATCAGGGGGCTTTTGATGCAAACTAAACGAACAAACAAATTTTAGGCGCGGCTCCAGTTCCTGATAAAGTGTCATCAACATTTCTGGATCCCCCATTGGTAGCAGGACCCAGTTGTAGCAAGTATCATAAACTGCACACTTATCACCTGAGAAAGCTCATTCGATTCCTTGAGAATTAACGCGGAGTGTGTTTCTATGATAATGCCCCTGAAAGTGTTCGATAACAGCTCTACGCAGAAGAGCAGTAACATCTTAAAGAAGCCACCCAAGGCTCTGGAGTATCCTGTAGTATATTTCCGATCAGCATCAATACACTCCCCATACAACAATCTCAGTCACCATCAATATCTTCTTTGTCTAAAGTATGCGAGCATAATAAACTCTCCTGCGAGTAAGGTGGAAGGAACTGGTATTGTAGCATTCACCTCGGGTGGATTTTCATACCTGGATCAGTATTATACTACTTGAAAACGATTCAATTCCTCCCTTCAAAAGCCTCTAGGTTTAGTTATTGTAACTATGTTTATCTATAGAGCCAGGTTGAACAAAGAGGAGTTGAAGATTGCATAGAGTTTGTTCTGTTCTTCGGCAAACGCATATTGAACTCGTTCAGGAGAAATAATTCCAACTCATGTAGATACAGATCTGACTTTTTGATCAGATAGATCATTGGACCTTCTAGTATTGCTGGGGTGATTTTCCTAGGTCGGGGCTGAGACTGTCGAACAGTTAGAATTTGAATCGCAGTCGGAGGATCGCTTCCTTACTGCAACAAGCAGCCTCGGCTATTTGGGCATCACTTAGCTTTCTATCAGCCATCGTATCGTGAATGAAATCAAGCGTTGATTGAGCTAAGTTAGGGGTTATTCTTGTCATTTGACTGCTACCACAAGCTGAATGGGGTTGTTCTCTAACACTAGACTGAGAGGAAATTAAATTCAGATTTGTGTTATGATATTAGGCTGTTATCTCCCATATATACACGGCTTATCAATGATCCAGCTCCGTGCCGTGGTTGGCTTAGCCTTGTTTTATGTCGGGGTTGCTGAAACAAACGAAGAGTGTAGGTAGTGACACCGGTATCCGGAAGCCCTGTAGTATCCATTCCTTGGTAATAGTATCTGCTTATCAACAATGTTCAATCTCTTGGGTGTGTACTATAGACCAGTAGACGGCAAAGAAGGAGGTTGTAAACTCGATTTTAAAGATAAGACCTAAATATCTATCAAAGAACTCAGGTATACAGTACAGTGCAAGTTGCATATAGAGAGTAGAAATAGTGGATCCCTGCATATCACCTAAAGCAAGGGGCCAGCGTATGAATATCATCATCATCAATTGTACAATGCCTTGCGCAATCGCCCTGCCCACCCGCAACTCTTTAATTTTGTTTCCCGAACCCGCGACCCGCATGCAATAGCTCTAATAATGTTAGTATTGTAAAGCCTCTTCGAGAGCTATGATCTGCCGTGTAATTTTGTTCCAGTTTCGGCTTTATTGTGAGTACATGTGTTTTGAAAAACCCGTAACTTATCCTCTGCAGAATATGGCAGATGTACGCTTAAAGAATATAGTTCTATTCCCAGGAAGTTGATTCTTTGATGATGATTCTGTATTTACTTTAAATCCACGTATCTGGCATGAATCTTACCAGGTATTTGATTATCTAGTTGTGTCTTTTTCTGTACAGTTCTTTGCACAACTTTGGAGATTTGTCCTGAACTATACACTAAGAGCACTAATTTCTTCACAATTAGCAATAATAAGAGTGTACTTGTATGAATTGCATTTTAGTTTGATCTTATAACATTGAATTATGTTAGCTGTCTCAGTGTCATCAGTTACAATAGGCCGGCCTCTGAAAACCGCACCCTGGCTATCAAACACATCTTCTTTTAATAGGGAACCGACAAGTCCTGCATAAAGCTTCAAATTAATATAAAAGTTAAGCTGATACTAGTAAGAAATTGACTGCTAGTTCCCCGCTGTCAGAATCAAATATTGTGATTAAATATTGATTGCTATAACCTCTTCCAAAATCTCACGACCTTGCTCAAGCTTTGCAATCCTATCAGTTAAGAATTCTTTCTGTTTTTTAATAGTGGAGGGCTCCGATGCCAGAGTAATTGCATCAGTATTGGAGAGCTTTGTAACAGTTAGTAGACAGAATATCAGCTCCAAATCCTCTACTATATGGCGTTCGATGACTTGTACAGTGACATTTGTAATAAACAATTTCTGGTATACCTATTATTCCAGAGATGATAAGCTTTTGTTTACAGTAAACTAATAAGTACATATCTTGTAAATAGTAAAAAGACAGTTAAGGACTTCTTTAGAGCTATGATTGTCTATATTGGGATCTATACGGTCTGAAAAGAGTCCTAGGGCATGCCTAATGTCAATATCTGGAAATGTATGGTCTGATTGACATCCCGGAAGCTTTCTGTACTGTGTGAATCTTTTAATACACTTGCTTATGTATTTTTTTCTTCTTTCTGATTGTCTTTTTTTAATTATGTCGGTGTAATAGTAGTTGTAATTAATCATATAGTTTTGGTTATTTTTAAGAATTTTGTCAAGCTCTTGCAGCGCATTCCGGTGTCTTATTTTAATAGTTTCCAAGATACTGGGCTATAACCGGTGGAATATATCCGGAGGAGCTTTTTCTTTTAGAATATTTCTGAGAAAGTGTTGGCAGAATTCTGATACCTTGTCTATATATGCATATGCAAAGAGATGCTATTTAGATAACTGCTCCCAGAATAGCTCGGCAATAATAAGGGGATTGAAGTTCCTAAGTAACTCGCGTCCTCTTGCCCGAATCATAATATTATTGACCTAAGTAATAGCTTTGCGGCGCGACAGCTTCTATGGGTGCTTGATTTTTGTGAACTTTAGATAGTTCTGATTGGTGGAAACCTCTTTTAAGAGTACCTCTTCCTTATCTTCAGAAGGCTCAAGCGGCTTTGTATCGCCTTGCTTCTTACTCAAATTGTTTTCATCTAGTCTATAAATATGGTATTTATATCCGTTCAGGCGGACTTTATCTGCAAACTTTTAATTTATGAGTTGGATTGCAGTATGTAGACATCGATTCAGAGCCAAATACTGGATATAGGACTCTTTTCCTTAAGATATGAAGTATTCTTCTTTATAATAACTATTGACTGCAGCCTTGCATATCTTATAGAAACTTAACCCCAATTGGGTCAGAAACATTTTGCAGTTCTCTGGACTTGTTCTCGCCTCTCCTATAATAAAGATCTCTTTTTTATTATTTTCCAAAGCTTCATCTAACTCTTTTTGAAGCCTAGAAAGTGCTTGCTGTATATAAGAAAATAATAATCTGCTAAGACAGTTGACAAGGCTCTTGATCCCAATATAATTAGAAAAAAGGATTCCGAAAATTGACTTCTGAAAATAAGCTGATTCTGAGCTGTTTTGCTTTTTAATGGAGAATTTAGCTTCTTTAAAACTCTGATTTTTTAATATGTGCCATCCCAGTTTAAAGTAAATGTCTTTATTTCTAGCAAGCCGTAAAAATTGGTTTTCTGAATCTAAACCATGTAGCAAACAATCAGGTTTTGTGATAATACCTAGTGTACGTTCACCCGTGGGATCGAATTAATAAACTTTGTTTAGAATTGGTTGATTGGCATAGTTGTTGGTTGCTGAGATAACAGTCAGACAGATAGTTTGTGGTTAAGATATATAGGACTCTATTATTTTAACTGTTATGTTAATATCTGCCTAAGTGGTCTTTTTTATTTGCAACTGTACAATACCGGGTAAATCAACAACTGTAAGCTGTGGTTGGTTTGGCTTCTTAATCTTAATACTAAGTATATCACATGCGAATGCTTGCTAATAATTGCTATTATTACTGTGCTTTTGATTGTATATTTTGCTAATACCCATAAGCTCGGTTGCTTTTATTATTAGTTAAAGTAGTTGATTGAAGCTTGTTATAGTCTTTCTAAAGGCTTTAATAGACCTTTGCTCTTTAGCGGAGCGTTTGGGGTCCAGTATTACTTTAATCTGGAGTGAATCTGATGTTCTATGGTGTAATATTATCTCGGTTGGATACCTTGTATATAAGTTGTTTTTGTGTAGAAAGGGTATTTTAGTTAATATTTTTAGAACTAAACTCTTGCCTGCCGACTAATTACTATAGACAACCAGTTGCAGCAGTGATAATACGCTATTTAAGCTATACTTTTAAAGCTGGGAGACAGTATTTAATATATATTACTGCCTATGAGTCTTAAAACAGCCCAAAGCTTTAGGGATGAGATGGTTATTAGTGTTTTGTACAAGTACTACTATATACTGTCAGTTACAACTGCCTGTAAAATTAAAATAGTAATTACTGTCTGCTGATAATCTACTATTAAGTGTCTTGAACAAATGTATTGTTGTTGGAATCATATTCAGCAATTTAGTTCTAAAAATCCTATAGAGACAATGGTGACCTATTATAATATTTTTCTACTATTATCTGCCACCAGCAGTATACAACAATAATTAAATCCCAAACTTAATTATATAGTTACACTGGGCGATCCCTTTGCAAGCCAGTATTTTTATATTTATAAGTTAATATTTAGAAATATCACAGTCCTACTAATAAACGCAGTCACCTTCGCTCTCTCCTTGACTCAGTGGCTCTGACTTAAGAACCCTGGTAAGCAAATACCGCGGACTGGTATATAATCAAGCTGCATTCCATAGATGTCATATTCTTAAAGACTAGTATGTAATATATTAATCTTTATTTGAAATGTTAGGATCCAACAAGAGTACAAGCCTAGACCCAGTTAATATATAATGTTCCTGATTATTAACATTTTATATTGTTCTAGACTCCTAACTACCCTGCAGTGCCACACGGCTGTGCTTCTGACATTTGGATCAGTTCGTGTTTTTATAAGAGCCCAAACAAACTTTGTATAGGATTTATGATGAGATAATTGTTCAAGTGACACTTCCTCGGGGAAGGCGGGGTTTATCTTTTCGAAAATGACTTCTTGTTAGCTCCTGGAAAAGGAATTAGAAGTGTGGTTGCATGATGCTTTCTAGTACTGTATACTCTGTTTCATTTCTGCATTCAGGAATGATAAACACCCCTTAGCTGCGAAGGAGTTTTAAAAATCGCGAAGTAATGACTTTTTACCATATTCGTACCGTTATTCAGATATCTTGTACTGTTTGCGGCCTATGTTACATAATATACTTACAGACTGCTTAAACCTTTTTGGAATTACTACAGATTGTCCTATTTAAGCAAGCTCAAATTATACAAACTTTACTATAAAATGCTTAGAAGTATGAATTATGACCGAACTTGGTATAGGCTCTTATTTGCGCTATTCTTAACTGCAATTATAGCATTTAAGCATTCTAATAATATATTATATTGCTATTTATCACTCAGAAACTCTTATATATAAATCGACTGTCTTATAGGTATATACAAGATCTTGTAATACCCTTGCTGAGAGTTTCACCTAATCACAAGTTAAAGATAATACACAAACTCTTTTTGTATAAACAAGTTTTAGATTAGTAAATATTTCTCTATGCGCGCCAAATCTGGATTGACAGAAGACCTGCAGCAAACCTTCTAAAAGTCCACACAGTTTAGGGCTGTAGAAAAGTCCCTAGTAAGATATCTTACTCCAGCTTTCTTTTTTTTCCGTATAATAGTAGAATATAGTAGACATCTTCCAGATGGTACTGCAAGTTACACAAGTTTGTCAAAGCCACTAAACATACTGGATGCCTGTAATAATATCTGTTATATAGTACCTAAGAATCCAGGTGGGATTCAATATGGTCTAACCATTTGCTGTGGTTGAGAAATTGATATATATGCTGTAACGGCCCTAAATTAGTTCTACTAAGGCAGAATAGATAATAGGCCGCCTTTGCTATAGCATATCAAAATATAATAAGATTACAACAACTTAACTTATAAGGTCTACTTAGATAAGCCTCGCAATATGAGTCCTAAAGTTCTGGATTTAAGAACTATTAACAGCATTCAATGCAAGCCTGTGAAAAATTATAAGGGCTACTTTTACAAGTCCATTTCTCATAACAACAGTAAAGGTGAAGCCAGCGACGATAAGGGTAAAATCTAGATAAATTAGTCTAATAGAATATAAATTAACTAAAGATTTTTTATATATTAAGAGTGTTTCTGTAAAAGCATTCTCTGTCAACAGCTTATATGCTAGTACTATAAATGCTTATACTGCTACCAGAGCATATGATTTCTAGAGCTGCAAGAACTTTTAACCCAGTTATACTTTGTAAGCTTTTATACTTTGGGAGAAGTTATGCAAGCAGATCACACTCAGGCATTACTTTTCTTATAAAAAAAAAAAGGGTCTGTTTAAATATGCTATCTTACTGAGTTGTCAAACTTCTCCTTTGGGTTTGCTGCAATCTTTGGAGCTTTTACTTATAGAATATCTGCTTCTTATTGTATATCTAGTATTGTTCTATTTAAAGTCTATGTTTCTTAGATGGTTCCCTCGCCTCCCCCATTTCTTGGGTGAGCTGATCTATCTTTTGATTAAGAGATATAACATCCTCTCTTTTAAAAAACTCAAACTCGGCTTTAGCAGGAAGTGATTGCCAAAGTTGCAGAATTCAATATATTCCCATACTTCAACAGTTTTATATATACTTATAGTGAGTTAGAATGCCCAAATATATTACAGGTCTATTAACTTTACTAAAAGGGTGTGTATAGGATCTGCCGAATATATCTCTCTGAATATAGCCTGCAAACTTTATTCTTGCAGTCTCTAAATAATGCTTATCTATAAAAGAGGCTCCATCAGTCAGGTCCAAACAAAGCTATATAAGTTATTTTACCGGTCTCTATCAAAGCCTATCAACGACAAGCACGTATAGTAATATTCTGTATATACCCTGCACAGTTCCCAAGCTTAGTAAAATCTTTTCTAAATAAGTCCGCACCATAAGACCTTCCTGTTGAGCTTTGTATTGCCTGTTTATTAAAAGGTCAAAATAAAAGAGTGTTCAGGACTTCTGGTATGAAATCTATAGTAGCCAGAATTTTCTTACTGTCTTTGCTTTATATAGACTCAGCTAGGGCTAAAATCTCACTTACAGATTTAAAATCTTAAAAGGCTCGATCTGCAGAGGCCAATGGCAAGAAGAATACCAAAAGATTAAAAAATAGGGGCGTGTGTTCTCTATATAACTTGTAAAAGCTGTGAATAGGATGCTGCTAATGCTTTTTCCTCCAGAATCCCTTCACATATTAGCGGGAGTATGTAAGAACTAACATCTTTATACCATTAACCATTTTAATAGTCAGAGTAAAGTGCTTGGCTTGTTAGTAAGAATTAATTCTTATATAGGCTGAATTTAAGACATACCTTGTAATATGCTGTAAGAGCCCTTGCTTTGTACTGCCCAACTGTAGAGGACTGCTTGCGTGACAATTCTTGCCGGGCTGTTAACTTATATACCTCGCCTGTTCTTACTAATATAAAACAGTATAATAACAAAAAGGCGCTTAGTTAAACTTGTGAGCGATTAGGGCACGTTTCCCTGTACTTTTTAAAGTCTCGGCACCAGAGCTGTGTGAGAAGAACTATTAGATTATTTGGTAAAAAACTATCTTTATCCATTTCCGCATCTGAAAGGGGGACGAGATCCCTGAGATCTTTCCTTATCCACTAAATATATATATTAGCTATGCTATATATTCCGGGTCGGAATACTTACTTCCTTAATAGTTGTGGACATGTGCTTTTGGATCTTAAAGTCACAGTGCAAAAGAAGACCAGCTTTAAAGTTGCAATAAAAGGATTCTACTGTCTCCAATGTGGGGTGCGTCTCTAGTCGGCCTGGCATATTCTTGCTTACAAACTTTATAAACCCCTTATAGAAGCAAATATTAAGTAGCCAGGATGCCCCTGGATGTAGCTCGAGAAAGCTAGTACCAGTGTGTGTGAATAGGTATATAGGGACTTATATTCCTAGATATACTTACTTATCAAAAGTCGCCAATGCATAATTATAAGAGGCCTTAGTTCTGTCTAAGACTGCGCGCTTGATTTCTGAGTCATCATGGTTGTCAAGATTTATTGTCTGGTAATGCCTTGCTGCCTTTGCTGCCTTTGCTGCCATTGTTAATTGCAGGATGCCTCTGTGAAGGGCAGTCCGAGCGAACGAGACAGAACGTAAAATAAGGGATTGTCACCTTTGAGAGGAACGGGGGGGGAGGGGGCAGGACTTACTTGTATTGCCAGCCTGTCAGCGTGGCAGAGCCGGGGGACTACGATGGGTGGCAGTCGCTTTTTAGATGGGTGGGGGGACATGAAGGTAGCCATTATTCAGGGTGCTGACGGCCACCAGAAGCTGACCTGAATAACCCCGAATAAGGCGGCACTGGACCACCGCAGCCGCTGGGTGAGCACCAACATACTTATGCTGTTGTATGTTTTTGTTTTGCTTGTCATCAACAAATCCAGCGCATACACCTCTGAACCGCTTGTGGACTACATCTTCGTGTCAAACATTTCGCTGATACACTAGGCTGACTACGCCGACTGCGCTGGAGCCATTCTACCACCATGCGCAATGCTCCGTCCACCCAGACCTAGCTACAGAATGAGATATATTAGTTACCCATGTACCCTACTAGGACCCTCCCTTCTTGTTTTGGCAGTATGGCGAATAAATCCATTCTTCTACAGTAGATGCCCGCTGTCTGAGCAATAGTTGCATTTTTCTGCTAGGGAGGATAAATAGGTTGTGAGGAACTTCCATCTTGCCAGTTACCTAACTTCTCTCTCTAGTGATCTGGAGATGTGTCTCACTTTGTGACTGCCCTAGCTTGCGGCGTCTATCTATATCAGCCCGCGAGAAGCCGATCTGCGCCAAAGTGGAGGTTGTTCGGCTTTTATGCCATTGACAGCCAAAGCAGGGTCCAGAGCCGACCGTAGCATGTTGGCGGCCGGTGCAAATTGGACAGAAGGCAAGAAGATGCAGGGGTAGCGACAAAGTCACGTAGCACTTGTCCAAAAAATAGCCATGGGTGTATGCGGAGTTGGGAATGCCACGTCACGTGGTTTCTTTCAACAACCAAGGGGAAATTGAAGCGAGGCCTCCGAAAGGGGTGCGTATGCTTCGGACCCACTTCGAATAGTCAAAGGGCAACATCCAACATGATGGGTTTCATTGTATACGGGGTATATGGATTATATAAATGGCGCATTCCTGTCCTCCAGATCTAGTCAATCTGGAGCCACGAAATTGATAAGCATGCCGAATCATCCAGGGACGGCATAAATCTGATGAACAATCAGCTTGTTTTTCACTCTGAATTCTCTATCTTTACAGCAGGGATATAAGAACTAAATAGAAAATCAGTCGAATTGTATCGGATGTGTTGTACCATATATAGTCGATAGTCACCACCTTCCACCACGTCCTATGTTATCATATCTAGTACTCTAGCGACCTTGAAAAAGATTACCCTAGGTGGATCTCGCCTTCGCACTGGGCAGCATGCATGAAATTTGCTTTCAACGGAGCCACACTACAAGCATTCATTCTACGTGCTTGGAACGTGAAGAAAGCGAGACACAAAGATGCAGCTCTCGATGGATGAGAATCGAAAACATGACACGTACCTGGTCTTTCCTTCACGGACTGCCCAGTCATCATCTGCATCCGAGGTGCGGTCCATACTACCGTGGATATCTGATAGGTCTGGCGCCCATCGCAGTAGCAGCGGCGAATCCGCGTTCCGTGTACTTGAATCTCCCGACAGCGAAAGGACTTGAAACGGACTGGCTGCCAGCCAAGGTTCGGTCGGATCCGAGTATACACGACCTTCCTGTCTCCGCTGGGAACAGATCGCAGCGGTATGTTCACGGAGTAGAGTTCTACGCCGTCGTCCCAGCTGTGGTATAAATGCTCAATCAGACGTACGGCATGCCTAGATGCATCTGTAATCTGCCCTTGATTGCAAATATCGTCTTTGGTAGCTGGCTCAAAGGATAGAGCAATAGACCTCTTTCCACACAGGACGGCCTCCATGGCCCCGCCGATTGTGCCACTGAAGAGGGAGAACAGAGCTGTTGCGTTCGCTCCGAGGTTGGGGCCCGATACCACCAGGTCGATCGGGATAGGCTTGCCCTCCTGCTGATAAGGGTGATAGTGATGCAGCCCGATCTGCACACACCCAGCGGGGGTCGAATTGACGAGCATCCATGGGCGTTAATTTTGCAAACCAATTCTGCTGATGCTGTTTTTTTTGGTGCGCGGTGCCTTCGAACTGGAACAGTTCGCCAGGGGAGAAATACGTCGCCTTGACCACATCCTCGACGAAGTGGGCTTTTCCGATCCAGGAACGTTGCTGGTTTGGCAAGACCACAGTCACGATGTGTCCTTGGGATTGGAGTTCGTGAACCAAGGTTGCACATACAGGATGTTTCACGCGAAGGGGGCCCGTTGTCGTTGACAACCTGAAAAGATTGGCCTCTCGAATTGATTCCTCCTGCCCGAAGGTAAATCGTGCGTACTAGAATATGCATTGGTGGCGATTTGTGTGGTTCAGAGCAAGCTTTGAATATGAGTGTGCACCAAGGAGTGGCGCAAAGGAGTCTGCTGACTAGAATTCGATAGATAAGGAGCAAGGAGCAAGGAAGATAGCTCTGAAATACGGGAAATCTACCAACATCTTCCATGGCGTACGGAGGATGGTGTAGTGCTTTCTGCACCGGCCACTGCTTGTCTGCTGTGGGGTAGGTATTACGTCACATGACTTTGGGGACGGGGAATGTTCCCGAGCATCGCGGAGGCCCCGAGGGAATTCTCTCCGAGACCGGACAGATTAGAGAGAAAACCCCGAGTTGTATAGAGAGGCAAGAGCTGGAGGCTATACCACTCGACCACGACGAAGACATTCTCGCAGTAATCCTACTTCTTATATGGCAAACCTTCTTCAGTTCTCCTCAGGTTAGTTAATGCCGAACTTCCAGATCATCGTGTGGATGTCTGCTGGGCAATGACCACATGCGTCATACATAGGTTCTATGATGGTTATTTCAGGGTTGTACGATGGCTCACGCCCACCAATTGCTATCTTAGTCAACTCGTGTTACATCTCTTGGAAGGAATAGCACTCGGAAGCAAACGAACATGTTCAGGACAAAATTAGTCCAGTCTGTGCTGAGGTAAGGAAATACTCTTTAACTGAAAATTCAACACCGCTGTTGACAAAGTAAAATCTTCTGTCGCCAGAGTGGATCAGTCCTGCATATTCATCTCAGGCAGCTCAGCAGCGCCAGGAGGCATATCTTCCGTGAGTGGAACATTATGCCTGTACGTTCTTGAAGATATATCGGTAAAAGCCATCAGCGTTAGACTAGTCGGGAGCCTAAGAATGTGAGTGGGTATCAGGTGAACATGACCTCGTTTCACAATATAATCTGACTTACCTCAGACCGCGCGATGACCATTCTGCAAAGTGTACCAGGGAGGCATTACCTTCGAGCGCAGTCAAACATTGGCCACGTCAAGAGACAAGTCATTCCTCATGCCACGAGGGATGTCATTTGAGCTGCCGCTGAGCCGGGAAATGCCGGAGACCGTCACTGGTGTCGGTCACAAGTATCATTCATACGAGGTCCAGAGCATCATGGTACATCGAAACTCTCACCTAGACGTCGTTAGTGCACATCCCATTCGGCTTCATCGCCTTCCTCGCTCAATACAAGGCGATTTGCTCGATCAAGTCAGTGCTGTGAGTATCCGATTAAGTTGTTTACAGTACTAGCATTATTACTGACGCACCTAACCACTGAAGTCAGTAGACGAGCTGATAGATGAGAGTATGTGGTACCGGATATCGATTCCCAGCCCCCAAATCCCTTTCGGAGCGAGCTTTCCGTCCGGGTTGAGTTTCATGCACTGCGAACGGATTTCTCCCCGGGCAAAATAACCCTCCAAGTCTTGGAGACACACCTACTGAAGATTACCCCAATGGCGTCCGAATCCATCACACACAACAGCGTCCTGTCCACGATCACACGAAAAGGGCATGCGATCGTGCGCGAAACGTATGAGAATTCGAAAAATACCACTACGCAGTCATTCGATCTTCTGGACTCCGAATGGACGACCACAGCACTCGTTCATCTGCCGCAGTCTTTCCAGGCCTGCACACAGAACCTGCAGTCGGAAGTAATCCAGGTGCATCATAAGCTGAAGTTTGCAGTTGAGTTCGCGGCCGAGCGTGCTCAGAGAAAAAAGGTATGAGCCGTGATCCAGCTCCCTCCGTCTTTCTTTGGTCTTTATTTGCAGTGTCGACGAATTGTATACTAGCCCTGAAATTTGGCAACGCTACTTAGACCGTCGGCGGCATCCCTTTCCAAATCTATATGTCTCCCTATACAGTGATGGAACATGACCTCGTTTACCGACAGACTACCTCCAAGAGCTGGAGATTGGTTTTGAGGAGCCGGCACCCCCTTACCTAGAGTACAATTCCGACTAAGCAATCCAGTACTAGACCTTCAGAACCAGGTGTTCAAAACTCTGAGGGAGGATGTCAATTTGCTTGACCCTTACAGACGCAATAAAGACATCTGTACAGCGCGCCAGTCATAGCCTGCTTGGCGATGATAGCCATGGATAGACATGAAGGTTACGCCGAAGCTCAGGCACTGATATAACTACAGATTATGCGGAGAGACCCCGAAGATGTTGATACATCTTCAGTACTGTCAGTGTGGACTGTGAATCCCTTTAATTTCATACCATGGAACAGAAGAAAGCTTTCGTGTTATAGGTTCTTATCGGATGGCCATTTTTGTTGTTGAGGATGAGTTATGAAGCGGGAAATAACATGCTCTGAGGCCAATCACTGTTGTCTTATTAAGATCCTTGTTATCTTTTTTAAGCCATGTCTGCGATTATATGACCACTAATGACTATATACATCCCGCCCCAATCCCATCAATCAACCCGCAAACTCATTAGCTTAGAACAAATTCTTCACGGACCGCATATACACCAGTAGATAGACAACGGAGTAATTGAAGACCACGTAAGCGAGAAAAATGCCAAAGTACGGCCAAATATCCGACGAGTCTAGCCCGAGGTTCGCGAGATACTGTTACCTCACTGTCAGCAGGACTACTCACAATTTTGTGGCGTTGGAATCTCACCTCATCACCAGAGCTATAATCGCAATACCCGCAAACCCCATACGCGTCCGGATTCGACAAATACCCGACGCCTTTCTCGGCCAGCCATGGGCCCGCGTACTCGCCGCAGGTCATGTTCGCCGGACTGCGGAAGTAGCTCACCTCATCCTTCTCGCAGACGACGGGCAATCCGCGCAGAACGGAGGTCAAAACACCTCCGATCCAATAGGTGAAGGGGGTCAGGTAGTACATGGTGTACTTCCAGAAGACCGGCATCTTGTTGTGCGGTTGGATGATGCCGTTGAACAACTCGCACATGGTAATGAAGAAGGGCATTAGTGTGGCTGCGATGGTTGCGTCGGCGCTACAGTCGCTGTTAGTCCCGCTTTGTAGGCCGCATGGAGGACGACAACTCACCTGAGCGCGGCAATCCACTGTCCCCACGAGGTGGCAAACAGAAAGAAGAGTAAGAACATGAGAAAACTGTATCCGGCGGCAAAGCCGTACGGCAGTCCGGCAGTAAAGTAGCAGATTAGATAGAACATCACGCCGGATCCGATGGCCAGCGGCATCTCACAGAGGATCTGCGCCGTGCTGAATGCCACCCAGCCGTACATGCCTGCGGGTCCCTCGCGGGCGAGCCAGATATCGCGGTTCATGACGAATCGCATTGAGATGGCGTTGATAAATTCGGGGACGAGCATCAGGCACAGAAAGCAGAGGAATGCTTTGGATTCCAAATCAGTGGAGCTGTTGCCCAGCTGGTAGAAGGTTAGGCCGTCGAGGAGGGCATGCGCGAAGGAGGCATAGAGGCGCGAGTACGGGTATTCGGGGCTGCGCCAGTACTGGCGGAGTGTACGACCGGTCAAGAGCTTGACTTGGCGATAGAACGATGGAGAATTGGGATTGGTGATAATGGGTGAATTTTCTGTGGCTGTGCCTTGCTCTCGGATGGTTTGGATCTCGGCCCTGACTGCGGCCGCTTCGGTGGAATGATTCCAGACCTCGACCCAGTCGACGCTCTTTTCGGTGTCTTTCATGGCACCGACGACGATCTCAATGAGATAGTCTGCTGCATTGGTCACGTTCTCGGGCTGGTGGCCGTGTCGGCCAAAGTAATCGAAAATTGCACGGCCTGAGGCTCCAACTTCGCCGAAATAGTAGGTGTTACCACCGGGACTTAGGGCTAGCACGCGATCGAACTGGTCTCATTAGTACCTTCACACCTATTTCAGTCAGAGAGAACCTACCTCCTCAAACTGCTCTTGATTAGCTTGATGAATGGTGCAAAGCACAGCTAAGCCTTGGTCGGCCAGCTTCCTGAGCAGGGCCACAATACTTGAGGCACCCTGACTGTCAAGGCCACTAGTAGGCTCATCCAAGAACAGTACCAATTCCGGTTTCGCACAGAGTTCCACGCCAATTGTGACCCGCTTCTTCTTCTCAATGTCCAGACAACCTATTACGGCATCCTGCAAATCGATCAAGTCCAGCGTGGCCAGAACAACGTTGACATAGGCTAATTTCTCCGCCTCGGAGGTATTCTGATTCTGTCTCAGCAGAGCAGAGAACTCAAACGCTTCGCGGATTGTACTTGTTTCGTCGTGAATGTCCATTTGCTGGCAATACCCGATGCGACGGTTGTAGGATTCGTCGGTTGGATGTCCATCGACGAACATCGTGCCGCTCAAGTCACCGGAGCTCTGGCGTTGGGTGAGTGCCGTCAACAGTGTCGACTTCCCTGCGCCAGATGCGCCGACCAAGGCCGTCAGGCTGCCTGGTTTACAATACCCGGAGACCTTGTTCAGCAGCCTCCGCGACTCCTTGCCTATCTCCACGTGGAGCTCAAGGTTCTCCCATGTGAACGTCGACTGACATGCCAGAACGGCTTGTTCCAGAGCCTGGTCTGGATGAGGAGGTTGGCGAGCACCTGGCACACCCTTTGCGCCTGAATGCACACCACCAACTTCCTCATCCCGAATCGACTGAGTTTTCCTCGCTTTCTTCTGGGATCCCTTATATTGAATTGGTCCTGCACTGGAGGACTCCCATTCAACGACCTCGCTAACCCAACACGTCGCAGCGATGTAGAACACGGTGAAGAGGCACAGGATGCCGAAGTTACGCCACACATGGTGGTAGTAGAAGCCGAAGTGAGAGGCCATATAATCGTCCCCGGTGATTATCGTGGTCCCGATCCGGCTTCCGTAGTATGCACATGTCTGGTAGGTGACATCGGTATAGTTTGGCCCAGAAGGAACAATTGATCCGGGAGAACAGGTGAAATCTGTGTTGTGGAACTCGGCAGCCATCATCGATTCGAAGGTGTAGATGACTGGCGTTGTGTACTGTGAGACGTGTTAGTACTTCTCGGGCGGCCAGTGCAGGGCTGCGTACCGCTATCCACCCCACCCAGGGGACGTTATTAATAAGTCTGTCCAGCGAGATGACATAACCTCCAAGGACGATACATGCCAAGACGGAAAGACCAGCATAGCGCAACGCAACCTCAAAAGTCTTCGAGAACGCAGCGAACAGTCTGAACTGCTGCGTCAAGCAGATCGCGCAGAGGAAGATGAAGAGGAAGTCGATGAAGAATGAGCCGGCCTGGTATGGTCAGCATCAGATATACAGAGCGGTCAAGATAATACTTACATTCGTCTTCAAGCCCGAAAGAAAGTAAACAACAACCTGGAACAAAGCACTGATGGTGACAAGAAGCACGACATCAGAGAACAATCGAGCCAGACACACGGCGCTGGGACGGACAAACGCAAACTTCTTCTGACGGCTGAGGATGTCTCGTCCCTGCATTGCGTCTTCCAGCTCCGACATCTGCAACCAGGCCAGCATCAACGAGGAGTAGAAGATGACACCGCCGCGCGAGTAAAGTCCATCATTTGTTTGAGGCATATCATAAAATAGACTGCCGATGAGCAGTCCATAAACGACAGCCGACATCAGCTTGATGTAAATAGGCCCCATATGGTTCTTCGTCTGCCACAGCTGCCGTCGGGCACAGAGCACAATCTGCCGGAAGAGAGAAACTGTGTACGGTGACTTTGGCGAGACGAAGCGCGATTTCTCGGTCTGCACGGCCTTCTTAAACTCTTCCAGACTTCCTGTATCTGAATCATCCGACGAAGTCTGTCCGCCTAGGCGCTGACCTTCGTAGTTCCGAATATCTCTTTCCACGGTTTGATAAGCGCTGCTAGTCCTAAACGCCTTTTCTAACTCCTCCGCTCCCTTTGGTGCACGGCTTTCCCAACCCTCCTTGAATCGTCGTTGTTCAGGAATGGACACGCTTGTCAGAAAGTCGCAGGTGGTCTGCATGGGTGCGCACTCGTAGCCAAGATCCTCGAAATAGCGCTTTGCGTCGCGCGCAGGACCCTGGTAGAGCATGCGGCCCTCATCGATCAGCAGGACCTTGTCCACCAGATCATAAATAGCGTCGGAGGCCTGGTACAGCGTCATCAAGGTAGCCTTGCCGCACGTGTCCGTCATGATGCGGAGACTACGCGCATAGTCCAGCGCAGACGATGCGTCCAGGCCTCTCGTCGAATTGTCCCAGCAGCTGATCGCAGAGTCCGTGGCCAGGGATTCTATGATCGAGATGCGTTTGCGCTCGCCACCAGAGACACCGCGGATGAATTCATTCCCGACCAGCGTGTCCATGGTGTGCGACATGGCGAAAACACGTCCGTAGATCTCCAGGTAGCGAGGGATCCGGTCATGATACCGCTTGGGGGTCTTGCACTGCAGCGCGAACTCCAGCGTCTGGCGGACGTTGAGGGTGGGAAAGTGCACGTCGTCCTCTGGGCTGTAGGCGAGTTGATCGCGGTAATGGGTCTGAACCTCCTCCAGACTCAGTCCGGAGTAGTCGACGGACCCAGTAACCCCAAGGTAGGAGGAGTGATCGCCAGCGATAGTCCGCAGAAACGTCGAGCATCCCGCTCCTGGTCTCCCTAGTACACTGGATATCATCTCGGTTAGCTCAGTGGCCTACATCACCCAGTCAGACCCAAGAAGAATGACTCACAGCATCATCTCACTACTCCGCACCACGCCTGAGAAGCCCCGAATTAACTGCCGTCCACTCTCCGGCTTCTTCTTCGACACCCACGGCTTGATGGTCCACTCATAGACATCCTGTAGGGTCAACGTCCGCCACAGAGCTGTCCCCAGAGTCTTGACCTTGACATGTCCTTCCCCATCTCCCCAGGTTGAGAGCGACTGGAAGCAAACTCCGAGGTTGGACCTCATCTTTCCAGCGCGCACCTCCTCGTCCAGAAACTTATCGAACGAGGAATGCGGCTCCGCATATTCCGGACGCGCACCCCGACGGCTCTGCGCGGTCAAAGTGCGATGGATCTCCGCCAACTCCCCCTCGTCCTCCTCCGACAGAAATACATGCGACAAAGGAACTCCGTCATCGTAAGCCCTGCCTCCCTCCGGCGAGGCGGTGGTAGAGGACTGCAAATGTGGTACAGGCTGTGGAGGCATGTTCCTAAGCACAGATCCACTTAGAAGCAATAACCAGAAACCTGATCCGACTTCAACACTCCTACCGCAAGATATTGGACTCTATTTAAGGACAGGTTGAAGAAGTTCAGCCCGGGACCCGCGGGGTAGTGGATGTTTTACATACTCTCGGTCCCCAGAACCCCAAAACGGCAGCCAAGACACATTTGGTCTAGGCGTTTTGCCGGCCGCGATAGAATCATAATCTTATTAAGTAATGAATTAAGATTTGCAGCCCTAGCCGCAGCAGAATTCTATCCTCTGGCTGGCCCAGAGAAGCCTGGAGAATAACCAGGGAAGGGGAGCCATACTTGCAGTCTGAGTTTTCTGCCCACTCAAAGTTGTGATTGGTTTACAGGCGCTAAGCGGGAAGTTTTAGCGAAGTTGGCGCCTAACAAAGATGGGGTCAGCAAAATGCGGCGCTATTTTTACTAGATTAGGAAGCTCGAGGGAGAAAAAGCCTTCTAAGCCGAAGACCCACCGGCCCGTGCCTGGCTGTTTGCATACAGGGGATGGGTGGTGGGAGACGAGGTCGATCACGAGAATGTGCTGCATGACCTTGCATGCATATTGTAGTGCGGATATTAGGTATCTTTGAGTTAGTCGAGGACTCGACATGTGTGCTCATGACCCAGGGCATTGATTGATCACGGGATCAGGGGGCTCCGATCTCCGCGCCGTCGGTCGATACATTGCTCCTCGTCATTTGCAGCCACAACTGCTTTTGATGACTGCTTGTGATCTCGAGACTACTCAAAATGGTTCTTCTAGGTTATCTCTCTGGCTAGCTTGTCTTTCTTTTGTTCATCGTGGGAAAGGAAACCAGACTGACATTGAGGGAGAATCAATCGTACGTCATCACGTGAATGGGATGTAAATGCCTAAATCGCTCAAAAAAAACTGTGACCTGTATATGACAATCAATCTCATCGCTTAGAGACATTCTGGGTTCCTGCTTTCGGGTGAATTGCGGCAATCCTCCTCCAAAACAGTTTTCCGTGGTTGATGCATCAATCACGCACCTCCTAGCTACGAAGCAGAGTTTGTCGATAGATTAGTCTCCCACTGAGAGAAAAGGTTGAAAAGAGCGCTATAGAAGAGAAAAGACTAGCTGAGGTCTTGAAGCCATCAACTATGCCCCAAAGTCTTCTCCTAATGATTCGTTTGAGACACGCTGTGCTTTTCGTAGCTCGCCATAACTCATGACGTCATTTCCATACTGGCAGCGCTACAGCAACCCAGCCAAAATAGAGCAAAGCACTGCAATTATCCCAAGGTCAGTGAGGAAACCTTGCCTTTACAGGATTAAAGCGAGTCTAGCTAGTATTTTCTATATATGTAAAAAGTGATAACCTTTCACTGTGAGCCATAAGGATATCAAATCTCAGCCAAGCTCAGCCAGTGAGCCCCATCTCTATGCGAGTAATCGAACCTCTAAGCTATCATGTATCGCCAAGATACCTATTTATTCAGCTAGATGCAAGTCCTTTGCCAAGTCAGGTTGCATCAACTCCTGGTTGAACTCCTCCGACGCAGGTAACTCCAGATGCACATGCGTGTTAACCGCGGCCTTCAAATCGACGTTCTCAGCCTCAAACTCCAGAACATGTCCACCAGCCTGGCGGTCTGCAGACAGGAAATGCAGATGGAAGCCGGCGACGCAGATCCCGTTCGTGTACGGCGGGGAATAGAACCCGAATAGCGTGCCAGCGACGTTATCGTACGTCTTGACGATCTGGCGCTTAGACAGTTCAAGCAGCGGCTCCCGCGGGCGGATTTGCGGGCCCCCGATGCGGTACACGATCTTTTTGAAGGTGGCGTCCACGCGGACAGCGATGAAGTTGTTCTGATTGGTGGGGAAGAATGGATGCAGGGCTTTCTGGAGGGTTTCCATGCGCAAGGTCTCCAGAGATTTGGTCAACGTGGGCTGAAAGTCCGTGGCGACGATCATTGGTAGATGGTCTGTGGGTGTGAGCCGGTGTATTTGATTGTCTGGGGTGAAGTGGTAGGCCTCGCTGTCGACGATGACGATCTCGCCATTCAGGCCGCAGACGGTGCCAAGGCCGTGGGTGCATCTGGAGAGGACGTTGGAGACGGTCGCTCCGTCGGAGGAGAAGCCCTGCATGAGGGCGCTGAAGACGCCATATTGATAGATGTGATTCATTCTGGGACGGGATATGAATTGTATGGATGGAAATGCGGTAATGAAAGATGCCGTCGTTGGTGACATGACGATGATGCTCGCGCGGGGTTGTTCAGGATATTCAGATGAATGCGCACTAATCCATTCTAGGCAGCCGATACCGGTTCCCGAATGTCGGATGATCCCATTAACTATAGTCAACTGCGGCTTTACGGCCGAAGAGGCTTGCTTCTAAAGCATTCGTGAATAGTAAACTTTCCACATGGATAAAAGCCCCTGGGTATATATAGAGATATACTTCCTACGTTGAGCCAGTCACTTGCTGGGCTCTTGAGGTATCTGCGCCGTAAATATGGCCAGGCCTCAGGCGGAGCGGCCTGTCTTTGAGGGTCAGGGCTTTAAAGGTCATGTGTAGATGCACCCTCGGCTTGAGGATCGGACTTATACTGCTACAGTGACCTTCTATAACTGACAGTCGATATACCCTCCGGTCGCTTAGAATAAAAAGCGCAGCTCCCATGCCTCGAAGACGAGAGGTAACTTTAGTCTCACGTGACTGTGAAACAAATCCAGGAATAAAATGTGTGGTGTAAAAGGGAATCATTGCAGCTGGCTGAACGAACAGGCTAGCACACAGAACGTTCCGTTGAGTGTTACAGCTTCATTGAGACCACTTCCAACTTTGAGCAAGATACCTCGCATCGCCCAGCTTGAACCTATGGTGAAGAACTCCAGAGCTGAGTTGTTCATGGAGATGATGCTTGTAGAGTGTTTATTTGGGATGGAAAGGTATGGAGGCGGCGGGCGGGGCAGAGTGCTTGCTGAGTATCCGTACTTCCCACGTATATTTAGCACACAAAAGCGGGCTGCGATGGTGCTGCCACAGAAAATACGTCGTAGGGCTGGCTCACATGGTCCACTGCAACCCGGCTGTACGTCACATGGCACGTGCTCTGCAACACTTCAAACGATTTGTCTCAAGCCTATTCTAGGATTTTAGTGGGTTCCTTCTAGGATAGAGTTCGATGCAGAGGTGTTGTTGTCATTTGGTTCCAGATGTTCTATCCATGTTGCTCTTGCTTCTGCTTACGCGCCAGGTGGCGAAAGATTCTTCAATGAATGAGCGGTGAGTCACCTCGTTTCATCTAATCATATGAAATTTCGCATCTGGTCGGGAAAAGTCGCACTGAAGATATTGCACGCGGATTCTGCACATCCAGCTTCGTTGAGGTTGCCGCATCAGGGTCCGATGGTTTCATGCCCTATGGCTAAAGTACGGGAAGTCCCGGACTGGCCCAGCAAAAAAAAAATGAGCCAAAATCAAAACCGAGCCATCTCCGGCGTTCCGAGATATTCCCGACCACCGAGTGAAAACCGAAGTGCTTACTTGCCATATCTATGAAATATCTGACGATGCCTATGGGTTGGATATATAAGCGTAGCTCAGTCTTACCTTTCTCTCATATAGAATGAACAGTTCAGTCTCTTTCTGTCAATCCGTCTCTTGTCGTGGAAATATAATCTACCCAAAATGAGTGACAGGTCGTCTTTAGAGGTCAAACTCCTAGAAAAACCACGACATGTCTCCCCAAGAATAAGGAGCAGCCTCAAGTCTCGGCTACGAGAACACTGGAAGCTATGGAAGGTCGGGATAGCTGCGAAAGAGCACTGGGATGACGAGTACAATTTTCCGCCGGGTCGATATTATGGCCAGAGCCACCCATAGATGTGAGTGAGGATCCGCCATTTCGTTGGCCTAGGGTTTTAACATGTATTGTTTCAGTTATGCCTGCCTTGGACCTCGTACAAACTACTGCCACTCAGACTAATCAAGGCAAAACGAACGATTTCACGAACACAAGTCCCAGAGGAGCCACACAAACTTCCCAACCATGGGATCTCATGATACCGACGACTTTTCTTTTCACATTTCACACCCTCAACTATATCCTCGGTCTTTTCCCATTCACCATCTTCAAGCATCAGCGCGGCGTTCGCTTGATATGCATGTCGCCAAGACCGCGCAAGGATATGTCTCCACCGCATAGTTCAGCGGGCAATAATCGCGCTACATGGAATATGTAATGTTTGATTTCACATACCCGAGAATCGGGACCTGTCCATGTTTATTTTGTCGATATATCTCTGTTACCTTGATCATCTCCACTTAATGAAAGCTGTACTCCGCTCCATTTCCAGTGAAGTCTTACCTTATATTTTTCGAGAAGACTTGGTCAACTTATTATTCTTTCTTCACTCTGGTTGCCATAAATATCAATCGAGGGTTCGTACCTGAATCCCCGCATGAGCAACACATTTTCCCTAGTCAAGACGGCATAAAGCGATACGAACGTAGAGAAAAGAAGTGTTGAGCATCACGACGCCTTAGCTCGCCATACTTAAGCGACATATCAAATCTACTGAACATAAGAAGGTCTATTTGAGCATAGAGTTGCCTGTTGGATTACTAATCTAAAACAGCACTCCCGACAACTTCCCGAGCCGGTTAGACCCTCTTCTCCGTTGGCCTTCCTGTTTAGGCTTGGCCACATCCACACCCTCATTTTTATACTCACGTAGTCGTGTTATAAAAGAGGGTACCCTCCTTGTCGAATACACGCGATGGATATGAGTCCTTGCTTTGTGCAGATAGAAAAGTGTCTCGCTACTTCACAGAGCAAGACAAAACGCCAGGTGAGGCCCCCGGAGTGATGTCTTCCTCTCCTGCCCAACTATCGCCCGATATGCACCGTCCACAGCCATCATCACTGCTACTGGATGCAGCTACGATAGAGAGATTAGGGCGAGAACGACCTCCGGCCTTCTCGAGCACCTGGTCTGAGACGGCCTTTTGCTTTTCCATCATTATGTGTCAAGTTCTGGCGGTGCGACCGTGCCCCGATGTCCGTTGCGTAGCCTTTGAGATGTCTGACATGCAGTCAATTTAGGAGTACTACATTTCCGGCTCAAATGTCCTTCTTCCAACTCTTCTTGACGAACTGAATATTCCCCCAGCACTTTCAATCTTGCCGTCTACCGCTCTTTCCCTCGCGGTGACGTCTACCCTGCTCATCTATGGCCGCCTCGCGGACATGTACGGCGGGTTCATTATGTACTTTGGGGGAATGGTGTGGCTGGCTATCACCTCCCTCATTGCTGGGTTCTCTCTAAATTGGATGATGTTGTTTGTGTTTCGTGGTTTGCAGGGGTTGGCCTTAGCTTCCTTCTTACCCTCTAGCATCATGATCCTCGGGAAAGTCTACCGCCCTGGGCCGCGCAAGAACCTTGTCTTCAGTGTATATGGCGCCTGCGCAGCGCTGGGATTCTTTGCTGGGATTTTCTTTTCGGGCCTCGCAGGCAGCTTCCTCACCTGGCGCTGGTACTTCTATATCGGCTCGATACTGTCTGCAATTACGGCTGTTTCATCATACTTATCCATTCCAAATGATTATTCCGCCACGAGAGCTTCCTCAAAGGCTTCAATGGACTGGATCGGGAGTGTACTGCTTGTTCCTGGGGTTGTACTATTTGTCTTTGCGATTGCGGATAGCGCGCATGCGCCGCAGCAGTGGAGAACACCGTACATCCTCGTCTGTCTCATCCTAGGCGCCGTCATCCTAGGTGCATTCGTCTACGTCGAGGGCTGGGTGGCCGATAAGCCTTTGCTGCCCAGAGATTTGGTTTCTGTCGATTACATGAAGCCAATTGTGGTCAGTCTGCTGCTCATGTACGGCAGCCTGGGGATTTTCCTTCTCTATGCTGCTCTCTAGTATGTCCTCACCCAACCCCAAGCTTCATCTCCCTATCGCCTATTTACGCATCTGCTAACTTCACATCAACAGCATGGAAGGTATAATGGGCGCAACCCCACTTCAAGTCGTCGCCTGGACGACCCCCATGGCTGTAGGAGGCCTCATAATCTCGATAGTCGGAGGCCACATCCTACATAGCCTGAGTGGAACGCTTCTCATGATACTTTCGGGCCTGGGATACTTAGGCTCAGGCCTTCTCTTTGCGGTGATCCCCAGAGGAGGCAACTATTGGGCCTTCGTGTTTCCGGCCATGATCTGCGGGACAATTGGCATTGACATCAGCTTCAACGTGACCAATATCTTCATCACGACGAATATGCCCGGGGAGCGCCAGGGGCTGGCCGGGGCACTCATCAACTGCACCCTGCATATGGGCATCGCCGTCATGTTGGCCTTCGCGGACCTCATTCAGGTCTACACGGAGAAGTACCTGGACACCAAGGAGAGTTATCAGGCTATTTTCTGGTTTCAGGTTGGGCTTTCAGGGCTAGCCTTGGTCCTAATCGCACTTTTTGTCCGGATCGAGCGCGCCAAGAGTGACCTGACGGCTGACGAGAAGCGCAGGCTGCAGATGGAGCAGGAGAGTTGTTTAGGGGATTCTCGATGTTGATGACATTCAACATGCGGATAGTGGTAGACTTTTGAAAGTGTGTCAGCATGGTATAACGGCCGAACTTTACATTTCTTTTATATATCTTCCTTGTCTTTGGTATTCGATTAAGTACTCCGACAAGAAAGCTCTTTGCAGGGAGGTGAGGAGCAAAGAATCTTTTGGGATAGAAATAGAAACAGAAAGAGTTTGGACCATTCAAAAATTGTACAATAACGTACGGTAGTATAAATGGCCACATGAAAATATGTTTCAATGAACGCGATCTGGTCTCGTTCAGGGATGCGCCGCGGCAGCTTTGTCCTTCCATTCTGACCCTAATCGGACGGACTGTGTACTCTTCTCTTCAACGAATTTGGCCAAGCCCTAACTCCACCAAAATTTCTATGTATGTGACAAAGCAGAGGTGGTGGGCTTCTCGTCCTTTTTCTTCTTCAATGTAATTATCGTTTAGAGAAATGTCCGACCACCGTCGGATAGTCGCAGATGAACGGAGTACAGTGTAGATTGAGGTTGAGGGCAGAAATAGGGGAATGCGAGAGGAAAGCTTTCGTCCAGGCAGCAGTATACGACATTCTGACTGAATACATATGACATACGAGCCCAATGTGAACGACCACGTCCAATAAGGGGTTATTTGTGCTACTAGTCAAATTACTCCTCACTCATATGATGGGTATCACGCCGATTGCTGTCTTTGGCTAAGATTAACCTGATACTAACTGCGTTTTACATATGATGTCAACTTAATTTGACAGTTGAGTGCGATATACTCGATGGAGATTATGCAAAATATGATACCGGTAGAGCTACTTCCCTGGAAGACCCCTTCAATCGTAGTACAAATTTGAGACGGAGACGGAGGACAAGTGGGAGCAAGGTGGGTGGAGTCCAGGAGATGCTTTAACACTCGAGAGGGTCATGAACACCAATGTGACCGTGTCATGACCAATCTTCTCCTGTTCGCATTCAGAGGCTGATTGCCCCATTCCGTATTGAGAAATTTGGATATGATTGTTTTGATGCCATCTCTCGGGTAGGAAGTCCAGGTAAGATTAGTCAATCTCTAACTGCGGCTTGATAACATCTCAAGAAAACCTATGGAACGAAAAATGCATTCTGCGTACAAGGGTAATTTGCAGTATGATGACTGACTCTTGTTTTACAGGCTACTGTTACTGCTTTATTAGGTCATGCCTGATATGGAGACTATCCAGGGCCAGCTGAGCTGACATGCAAGAGCTTTCTGTTATCGATCCGCACCGGCGGGTCATTTCCCTAACATGTTAAAAAATCATCTATCACGGAAATACCATCAACGATTGTCCCGACCGGCACCAACAGTGTAAACAAGCGCCATGTAAATTGATCATGTGTCTTATTGACACATACGACGCAGACGTAAAGAGTATTCAAGCGGCTGAGATTCCTCAATATGCAGCAACACGCCCACAGACTCTCTGTCATCGTTGAAGCTCTTTGTTTCCATCACCACTTCCAGATATCGTGGGAGAGTAATTGTTTGCTCGAATCAAATCTGGACGAGTGCATGCGTGTCGCAATTCAGGAGACAGATGCAGACCGCTGTTTGCAGAATGCGCTTGATGATTGCCAAGAAAATGTAGCTGATACCCCTGACGATGCCCAAGCATGCTATGGAACATATAGTGTTTGAAACGGCGCGAAGCCAGACATATCGACATATCAAACCCTCCAGGGACTTGAAGTTTGGATTCTCTTTCCGGTTAAGCAAGTAAGTTGAAATCAGCTGACTATCTGACGGTAAGGTAAGGGAAAGAGAAACACGCCGTGGTGTGGATCAGTCGGTTTTAGGAAGAAATTTGTTCTCGGAGGACTGTTGGTGCAGAATCCTGCATATGAGTGAGTTGAAAATCATGTAAATTTTGTGATTTTTTCTATTCAGCAGATTGGTCCACTAGAATCGGTTCCTACATATCCTATGGTACCGGTAGTCGGGTGCCATCCGAGGAATCGTACCCGCATCCGTGATTCGGATTGAGGATCCGACGACCTGAGATTGTGTAACCATGCATCAATATAAATTGCATTTTCATCCACGTTCCTGCTTTGAGTTAGTCTAATCATTCTACTTCCCATTTATGAAGACATCATAACTCTTGCTAATGTCCAACCCAAGACTGCAAGTCACCCCCGAGCTTTACCCGATCCACCCTACCAGACACTCTCCCAACTCCCCCTTTCCCGTGATCGTCTATTGGGGCGCCCTTCTTGGTCGTAATCCAACCGGTGCCTTGAAAGCCATAGAGATATCTGAATAGGTCCACGGAGGTCACTGGAAAATCGGTGGCGAGAAGATCGCCGCAACACCTCATTATCACGGCACGACCCACGAAGCCTATACCGTTCTCCGGGGAAATGGAACCTATCTTCACGGTCGGTCTCCGTTGGACCCTGGAACAGGTGAGAACGGGAACCCCGTGGGCGTGAAGTTTGCCGCTAGAGCAGATGTCTTTGTCTTTCCGTACATAGTTCCAATCTACTCTCTTGGTGAGAATTTATGTCCCAGAATGGGGTGGACTGCACGCTGGAGTCACGCGCTACGTGACTGAAACGGAGGATGGGTATGAAATTGTCGGGTTCTATTCCTTGCTGAGAGGCAAACCAGTCTTCATTCCCCGGCTGCAGACTAACTAGTGGCAGAACGACCGAAACTCGAGAGAGAATCCGCATGATATGGAATATGCCTTGGACTCGGTTGTTGAGACGGAGAAAGAGCGGGAGTTGTGCAGGCAAGTGCCGGTTCCAATCCACGATCCGATCTACGGCACGGGAGGGATTCCGAGGATCTGGCCAGGAGAGGGAGAGCATGCTGGCCATATGTCACAATTGTTTAACTCAACATAACCATCTGCACTAAATCATGTTACTCAGGAACACTCGCGAGTGTGGGTTTTCTCTTCATGGCTACCAATCACATTCTCGAAGGAGAACCAAGGCATCATACTCTTAGCCCCCCGAGATCTCTAATTACCAGGAGGGCGGTTCGACCAGGCGTAAGACAACATGTAATCAAACAAGAAATCCTAAGGTCAACAACCAGATAAGTAAAAATTTCGTGCAAGGGGTTTGGACATGTGAAATGAGGGTCAAGCGGTAGAGGTTCGTATTCGAGCTGGGTCTGAAACAATTGCGGGGGCCGAAGGATTTGGAGATGCGCGCCTAACTTACCCAACTACTAATCATCATTTTCTATTCTAGGCATTAGCGTCAGGGTCCAAAGTGAATTGTGCCGTGCTCTCGGAGAATGAAACATACATCAGCAGTATTGGTGATTCTGTCTCACAATGTGGTTTCTCAACGGGCATTTGAGCCTGAGTACAGTATAAAGCAAGGGGATCTCGTCGCTCCCACATTTAGTAGAACATACATCTCAGAACCACAAGCATGTTACCCACATTACTGATTCTGGGCCTGAGCGCCGTCGCCAATGCACATGTCGCCGCCTGGGCGAAAGGGATGTACTGTCTGAACGGCACCTCCGGCACTGACGATCCCAACACCAACACGGCCGTCAACCCCCTATACATGCTCGACCAATCCGACTGGTGGTTCCAGCATGACCGTGGCTGCGACAGCTTTCCTCCAGCAGACGGCGACTTCCTCGAGCTTCCTGCCAACGGGCAAATCACTGTGGAGCTGGCACACAACCGCGCGCAGACGACGCTCTCGTACAATGGCCAATACGCGGGCGATTGGCCCGACGGCAATGAGCATCCTGAAGACTGGTCGGGTCCCGGGAACCCACCTGACTGTATCCAAGATGACGGGGCGATGCACACGCAGAACCAATCCATGGCCGCGGGGACGGCGTTCGCGATCAGCTATCAGAGCGACTTAACCCAGGTGACGATGGAGAACCTTGTTGTGTTTAGTGTTTTAGAGCAGTAAGCATTCAGTCGCATTTCGAGAAGGAAAGGAAGTGACTAATATGCTTGATGAAGCACCCCGTGGAAGAGATTGGCGACGTACGACGTACCGGATCTTCCTGCCTGTCCACCTGCAGGCTGCACCTGCGCTTGGCTTTGGGTAACATTTACACACATACATGCTTCCTTGTTAGACTGGTCGATTAACAATTAGTCATAGGTTCCCAACGGTTGCGGACAACCTAACATGTGAGTTGCACAGACTCTTCCTTGTGAGCCAAGGACTAACGTGTTCCAGGTACATGCACGGTTTCAAATGCACCGTGACGGGAGCCAGCTCGACCAAGACTGTTGCTGCGGCACAAGCTCCTGTCTACTGCGGAGACGATTCATCGAAATGCGTCAAGGGTGCCAAGCAGATGATCGCATGGAACCGTTAGTACTCGATCCGTTGCGTTTCTGCTTCATTACTGACAAGAACGCTATACAGAACAATCCGGTAACAACGTGGAAACACCCATTGGGGTCAGTCCCGCGTACAGCAGCGTCTTAGGTTGGGAGAATGGTATGATCATTTCTCGCACCTAATAAACATTTGACTAATCACGAACCACGCACAGGTGCTCAGAATGATATCTTCGACTGAATATTTGAAACCCTATGTGATTACTTCGACGCAGCTTGAGTCGGGGCTTTTTGTACTATATCTCTTGAATAATTGATTCTTCTGGTTGTGGCATTCTAACTACGGCGGAAGCAGACAACCCTCTATCCAAGGACGAGTCTGACCATGGATCCTGTCGCAATCCTTTCCGGAAACCGTACGATGAGAAAGGTCTTTGTGATTGCTGCTAACGTTGTCGAAAGCGAAGATGCCGTCTTTTCTTATTAGAGCAGGGTGGCTATATTGAGTATATTACAGGGTCACAAATCCCTTAGGGCGACAGAGAGAATATGGTTCCCGATTTTCCGGTCGGAATCCCTGTGAATCGACTTGGACGCACTACTCTATGATACTAGTCAGGCATTGTCTATGAGATCCATGACGTGATGCCCGAAACTCACTGCTCAACACCGGAGGTCTTTGTTCAAGTGGTAGCTTTACGTCTGCCTGAGTTCGCTGTTAGGGGCTCTCCTCCTGATGATTAGTTCTCTCACATGTAGTTCTCAAAGCGGCAGAGCAACCTTGTAATTTAACTAGCTCAATGGGACATCTTCCAAATGGGCACGTCTGCCAATATGATATGCTCAGTGTTCGCTCTGTTGACGTAAGATATTATGGCTCCTTGCAGCCAGAAGGATCGGTCGCAAATCAGATTTTTAGGCATTGGCAGGAAGTCCTAAGCTCATTGAGACGATTGCAGCAGTTCGTCTTACAACTATGACTTTGTAGCACACAAACGATCGCTGAGACATTACGGACAAACAGCGTAGGACAGAAATCCATAGCATCAGATAAGATGAAATGTGACGGAATTTCTCATTCCTGATTGGGCGATAAGCCCCGCGGGTCGTGGAGATAAGCTCGAGTATCCGTGGCTATCCGATTGGCCATGACATGAACCTACCGCCATCGCGACCGGGCAGAATCACTCATCGACGTCACGGGGATGAATCTTCCAATACTCGTCCAACTCTTTATCGCTCAGACTTGGGACAGCATCGTAGTGAGTGAGTGGTGCAAGAGGAATGCCCAGCTCCTCGAACTTTGCAAGGCGTTTCTTGGTCAGCTCGTGAGTCTTGTTGACACTGTATACCTTGACGCGGTGTGCTGAAGACGTGACGTGCAACCCCCAGTTCCAGGTCTGACGGATTCCAATCGGTTCAGTGTTGAGAGCGTTATCCCATGTTCTCACAACAAGCTCAATCCATCCTTCTACATCGCAGGGGATATCGATCTCCCATGTTCGCCACGTCCATTTGCCCTTTTTGGACAGGCGCTCTTCGGGGACCGCGTACCAGGTGAAACCGCCGTCCGCTGATAGCTCGACACGCTCTGGCCAGCGTCCACCGCCACTGTAGGCCCATCCCTTGCATGATATTGACCCGTTGTGGAAGATCACTTGGTGCTGCCAGGGTGACATGATCGCCGAGCTGACAGGCATCTCCTGGATCTGGATCCCGTCAATCGGGCGCTGGTTGTACTTGCCGACCTGCTGGTTGAAGTAGAGATATTCACGGCTCTGAACTGGAGCGATTGAAGCATTTTCAATTGCCTTGATTCTGTAAAGCCATTTGACTGACCTGGCTCCTATGTACCCGGCAACCATGACGCGTAAGGGGTACCCGTGGATTTTGGGGAGAGGTTCTCCATTCATCTCCCAGGCTAGCATGACTTCATTGGCCTTGACCTTAGACCAGGGCACACTGACCACGTAGTTCATCACCTCCAAGTCCTTGACGTACGTTTCCGCGCCATATAATTCGAGATGCCTGGCCCCGTCGATCAATCCCCCGCAATCTTTAATGACCTTCTTTAAGCTGATACCGACATATCTGGCCGTTCCAATGGCTCCTTCGGCCCAAGGAGCTTGTGGGACCTCGTCCCCTTGACCAGGATATAGAGTTATCTGTTCGATTCGACGAGTTCCGGAGCATTGCATGGTGATAGTTTTCTCCATGCGCGGAAACCGAGTCTCGTCCATCAATTCGTCCAGGCTGTACGTCTTTGGGTTCTTGACTAGCCCGTCTAGCTTTAGCTCGAACTTATCCTTATCGATCAGCGGAATACCGCCGTGATTGCGCACGAAGTGCAAGGGATTCGGGGTAATGGGCTTCGACGTCACCAACCGCTTGGGCGGCTCTCCGTTGTACGGGAACTGCAATAGATGCAACATGTCGGGATGCTTCTCTTTCAGGACCGTTTCCCACGAGTCATCGGCCACGGTTGTCAGCTCACCGCCGATGGCAGCATGCCAGGCTTTGAAGTCGTCTCCCGACAGCACGGGGTTGGTGCCGGGGATATGTCCGAATTGGTAGTCTGGACAGTCCGGAAAGGTCTGAGACTTGAGGATTTCATGCGCCTTAGCCTTCTTCTCGGGGTGATCCTCCCATTCCACATATCTGGCAGTGAATCAGCTGCGTGATCGAGGTGGGTTAAGAAACGAGACATACCCAAACCAGCCCTCTCGTTCCCGAGCGAACAATTTATCGCGATTTCCAACCGCCTCAATCACCTCTTTGTCCTGCTTAATCTTGGTCGGCGGACGAGGATATATGTGAATGGTCTCTTTGCCGGTCTGGTCGAGGATAGGCAGCTTGTGGCCTGCCATGCCTTGCTCGATCATCCACTCATCGGGGCGATTCTTGGTATCTGATTTCTGGCTAACTTCCATTTTGACGGTGTGCTTGCGGAATTGAGAGCCAGTTCGAAGTGCTCAAGTTGTCTAGTCGTAGGGCTGAGAGTGGGTTGAGGAGGTGTGTTATCTCTTTATCTGCTCGCAACGAGGGAGGGGCAAGTCGATCAGTCGGATTCGGGAATTGGTGATTGTCCAATGACGTCTCCCACTCGCGTCCAGGTGGCTGTCACATCGGATAAGGCGGAGAGAATCACATTAACTTCTCGTATTTCTCCCCGACCGGACTTCCTGGGCTGGCTTGCTGGGGTTGAGAGAGGACAAAGCCACATACCTAATGCATATTCCATTTGCTTGCACAAGACACCAGTCCCAACACGGCATCTTTAGAGTGCTCCATGCATTCTGCTACCATACGATGACCTGTAAATGTCTCAAATGATGGCTTATTAGATCCTAGTTCCAAATGATAGGGCAACGCGCCTCGTGTCGGACACCACCACGTCATACGTGTGCGCCGTGGTTGCATCGCTTCATAATCCGACCAATCATTCCAGCTCGATTACTCTGCTATGTTCAAAGGTGAGAAAAAGTGGCCGTCAACTAACAACACCTGCCATAGAACGGACATCAGAGGTAAGTGGGGGAGATCATCCTGAGCTCCACTCGGCGCAAAACTCATCAGGGAATTCCGAGCCTAGACCCTGTTTCGCATTCGTCCAGGAGTGTCAACACCAAACCTGCAACATACTGAAGATATGAGCTCATCGAAACCTTTGTCGCATCGTCTCTGCCGCTGATAATGTCTCAAATAGCTTCTTTGAGGCAGTAGCAATCTTTGACTCGGTGCCAGAAGCCTTGTGGAGCTAATATGCGCTGATGCGACCGTAGAAGTTAGCCCTACTTGAGAGCCGGAGGCAGTGCACGTCGGAGGTCCATCTCGCACAGTGGTCGCTACCACTTCAATTGTCCTTATCGTTGTACAGACTCTTTTGCTCAGTTATTCAGACAATTTGTCTCGTTCAGGTCCCTGATATGTGCACAATCTAATCAAGGCTTTCGACTGGAAGAAGAATATTGCCATTGACGTGCAGCCTGAACACCACGAGGTACTCCGAGTATATGCCGGGCTCAGGGGAGTACAGGATGAATGCATGTGCACACTACCCTCTCAACTCCTTACTCCGTATCAATGGGTGCAGTTCTTATCGGGCAGAATATTCCTTTCCATTAATGGTTAAGACTGTATGGAAGCTGCGGAGCGCTGGCAGCCTACCGCAATATATTCCACCCCCAGGGGGCTTCAAACAGAAAATGTCAGTGCTGCTAAGTAATCCGGCCACGTGATCCCAAAGGCCTTTTCATCTTGTTTACGTGCGGAACGTAGCTAGTTCAACCAACCAACCAACCATCAAGAATCATATCAAACACGTCCCAGAACCTCCCCTGAAGCCTCTCAGTGCGTTGACAGAAAAACCCTCATATCGTCATAGACTTTGCTTTTTCTCCACCACAGACTTTGGATACGGCGATAAGGAAACCACAAGTACCCGGATGATGCATCTAGTGAAACAATTACATCCGAAAAAGGCAAGAAGAAATTGAGTGTACCTTGGCGAGGTAGCGTGGTGAAACATCGGAAATCAGCTGCAGTTTCTGTCCGACTCCTAAACAGGTATGAAGACCGGCATTTTTGCATTGCTGACTCATACAGGGTCTTTGTGTAAAAACGTTACTTTTGTGCGAACGTGTAAATCGTTCATTAATCTATCCTGAATGTAATGTACTGTACATCTTTACCATCTTGAATTTAGGCAGTCACCCCACTCGGTGATCCCCGATTTACAAGATAAAACTCTACTTGGACTTCAAAATTGAACTTCAGAAGAATTTGAATAAAGCAATAGGAAGAAAAGGTGCCGGATCTAGCCCAGCGTCGAAGGAAAGTTGAAAGAAGATACACAGAGCATGGGCTTGGCGAGGGTTAGTCAGCGGGGGAAAGCGAAGCGGGTCATGTGACGAATATCAGATCGCCGGCATCACTTGTACATGTCCCACCAGGACATGTGCCATAAGAAGATACCGCCTTTGCTCCATGAATCTTCGCAAAGCGTCAGCTGCTTAGACGTGGCCAACACCGGCGTTGGCCATGGTCCAGGCGGCAATGTTGGTAGGTGCCTTGGCAGAGGCGATGTTCTTGCCCTGGAACTTGCTAAGGATGCTGGTGTCGGAGCCGCTCATGGAGCCGGAGGATCCAAAAGCGTTAAGCTGGCAAGAACGGCCAAGGTAGGACTGGCAGAGCTTGTTGGTGTTGGCGTCGGGGGAGCTGAACAGGGCGCCCTGGTAGGGGGACTCAACCACGGTGTCGACGTTCTGGAAAACGTTACCCTCAGCCAGGACATAGCCACCCTGGCCAATCTCGAAAGCGTGGCCCTCAATGTTGTGGAAGAGGTTGTTAACCTATCAAAGTTCTTAGTGGGATTCCGATTTCCGTAGCTTCGCGGATACTTACGGCGTGAAGAAGGGTGTTGCTCTGAACCTTGGGCATACGACCGGACAAGTAGTAGAAGTAGTTGCCCATCATCGTGATCATGTCGTTAGAACCATCCAGATAGATTCCCCAATAGTGG